CTTTATTTTTTCCTAGATATCAATATTTTTGACTACATATTTACAGAGGTTTCCTAAATTTGGGGTTTGTCTTTTCAGTTTTCTTCTGATGATAATCAAAAGTTGTTTTATTGATCTTCTGTATTGTGGTTTCACTCTTTTACTCTAGGAGCTTAAAATAAGCATGGATATAATACTTATTGATTGTCCATTGCTAATCTGAAAACTTTTCAGAATAGTCTAGCCTAAGATCTGAGTATCAGAGTTGGAGGCTAGTTGTAGGTGTCAGTCCTTAGTATCACAGATGGCTCTTTTGGAGTTGTTTTATAATGAGCTAAAAACAATGCCATGTCTCAGTAAATGTCATACTTTAGTTCGTCACTAGGCTTTTAAACAATGCAACAAATTACTTTCAAAGAATTCTGGAATGACTGTTAAAGGCCAAGAATAACTAATTATTTAAAGGGCAGGAAAACACATACAGATACATAAACCTGTTCCCAGCATGAAAACTGAGCAGAATTTCTAAAGCTGAGCTTTTAATAGTTTTATTCAGTCCTTTGCTAGCTCAGCAGGAAAATGAAAGGGAAGCAACAACCACCACCCTGAGTAAACATGCCCTGCTTTTTCTTCCTCTATTCCAAATTCCTCAGTTCTCTCAACACACTGGACAGTTTAGCTAAAAGAAAGGTATGTGATCTTAAAATATTTGTATTTGAAATAAACCAGTAATAGGAGGACAAATACTGCATGATTCCACTATTGTGAGGTATCTAAAATTGTAAGCTCATAGAAACAGATAATAGAAAGATATTTACCAGGGCCTGGGGGAGGGAGAAATGGGGAGTTGCTAATCAATGGGTACAATGTTTCAGTCAAACAAGATGAATAAGTTCTAGAGATGTGCTATACAACACTGTGCCTTTAGAGGACAATCCTGTATCATACATTTAAAAGTATATTAAGGGCTGGGGATGAAGCTCAGCAGTAGAGTGCTTGCCCAGCATACATGAGGCCCTGGGTTCAATCTCTAGCACTGCAAAAGAAAAAAAAATCTGCTAAGAGGGTAGATTTCATGTTAAATGTTCTTACCACTATAATTTTTTTTTAAAGTTAGGACAAATGGTAGGTTCTCCATAAAGCCAAATTTGTTCTGAATTTGTACCTTTCTTATAAATCTAAATTCTAATAAATGAAAGTACTAGGCCATGATTTTTATATATTTTTTAAAAATATCCTTAGTAAAATAAAAAGCTAGAAAATGTGAGGGGTGGAGGGTAATCATCTCTTGAGTAAAGTATATGCTTTTGGTACCAGAGAAGATTAGCTGGCAGAATGTAACATGGCCTGGTGGCTAAGAGGGTAGACTTGAGCAAAAGTACCAGACTCCCTCTAGGCCTCTACGTCATCCTAGCCTTGAAACCTTGGGAAATTACTTTAGCCCTCTGAGAAATAGGGATAGTGTCTCATGTGCTGTTTTGAGGATTAAAGGAGCTTATCCAGATGAGGAGCATATAAAATGAATGGACTTTAGCACTTGATATCCATTAATCACCACTTATATACACTGCATAATTTTGCATTTGTCCGAGAAGATAGTCTGTTGGGAGAAACTGGAATCATATGGCTTATACACCTCAGTCAAGAAGCCTTATATAATTATTTTTGTTTCCTATTGCTTCTGAATAAATGGCTATAAATTTTCAGCCTGAATGTAATACAAATTTATCACCTCAGCTCTGTAGGTCAGAAGTCCAATAATAAATCAAGGTGTCAGCAGGGTCGCATTCCTTTCTGGAGGCCCTAGAGGAGAATTTCCTGCTCATTTATGTTGTTGACAGAATTCAGTTCCTTGCAGCTATAAAATCAAGGTCTGTTTTGCAGGCTGGCAGCCGAGGCTCTCCCAGCTTCTAGAAGCATTGCCTCACAGCCTTCTTCCATTTTTGAGGCTAGCAACAGCAGACCAAGTCCTTTTCAAGCCCCTTCTCTCTGACTCCTTCTTGTGCCTCCTTTGTTAGACCCTACTAACTCTTAAGATTTGAGTGGGCCCACCCAGAGGATTCAAGATAATCTCCCCATTTTTAAGGGCAACTGACTAGCAACCTTAATTCTAAAGCAGCTTCAATTTCCCTTTGTCATGTAAGGTAGTGTGGTCTCAGGTTCTAGAATTAGAGGACACAGACATCTTGCAGAAGTATTGTTCTGCTTACCACATTCCAGTGAACTAGAATTGCTATGTGGTAGGTACTTGACCTGGGTACAATGCTTTTTGCTCAGGCAGAGTCTATTAATATCCCCATTCTATGAGTGAAGAAACTGCATTTCAGAGGAATTGTTATTGATGAAAATAACTCAACTGGTGGATGAGGGACTAAAATATTTCAGTAGGCTGCTATATCTCAAAGATTTGCCTTGCAAACCCTCTTCATATGGCAGTGTATACTAATTAGAAATCAATATTTTGATTTTTTAAAAAAAGGTTCAGTTTTGTTAACAGAAATTGTTATTCATGTTCATGGATGTAGTAAGAAGATAAATTTAAAAACCAAAACCAGAGGGGCTGGGGTGTGGCTCAGTAATAGAGTACTTGCCTGGCACATGTGAGGCCCTGGGTTCAATCCCCAGCACCACATAAAAATAAATAAAATAAAGGTATTGTATCCAACTACAACTAAAAAATAATTTTTAAAAACCAAAACCAAGTATGTATTAAAATTATATTATATGGAAAATGAATTATAAAATATTTTAAAACAATTTCTGTCTGAAAATGAAAAAAAAAAAAGATTTGTGGCTTGTGCTAAATCACAAACTGCTGTTTGAAGTCAGAATGTTATTTTCTGTGAGGTCATTGGCAGTCTCTGCCAGGAGAGGTCTGATTTGTAATAGGGTAGGTGGATGGGCTCAATCCGTTTTTAGTAGATATTTGACTCTCATGTTTTATTGTTCTATAAGTAATACATTAACCAAACAAGAAAATTTTCCTAGCAGCAGAGTTGTTTTCCTTAATCAGAAGAATGTTCTGTGTGCTTATTTTCTTATTGTCTAAAAGATTAAAACACTTTAAATTTAGCATATTATTTTTGGAGATTGAGATACTGGGAATAGATAGTAGAATATCAAAGAATATCATTAGACGTATTGGCAAGCATTATGTTAATTGAGACCTAAATATATTTAACTGAATATAGAATCACATTGTTTTCATGTCAGACCCAGTTGTTAGCCATGGTTCTCTTCCTCACCTTCATAAGCCTCTTTTTATGTCTTCTTCATGAATCACATACCCATACTTTTAAAATATTCATCATATCTCCAGGTTCTACCCTGCTCCATTTGTTTATTCACCAAAGATTTTAATACTCTATGCTAGGAGGCCCCAGGGATAGTATGTCCTCATGAAGCTTATAGATTAATGGAGGATTCAAACATGAAGGAAGTAATTTTACAAATCAAGAAGGACATGGTTGCTATGAAAGTGAATAAAAGGGTCTCAGTTGAAAGGCAGGTCATGAAGAAATCCTTGACCCAAAGGACAAATTGCATTTATCCAGGCAAAAATTGAGATTGACCACTCCAATGTATCCAAGGGATACATTGTACAAAAGTCATGTCCAGGAAGGAGGTTGGCAAGTTTGAACAATGGCAAAAAGGCCTTGGGCTGTGGTGTGGTGTGTGTGTACGCGTGTGTGTTCACGTGTGTGCACACGTAGGGGCTAGGGTTGGGAGTGGCTCTGGAGAAGGAAGAGAGAGGACAAGAAAACAGAGAGGTGCTGGGTCCTGTAGAGCTCTGTTCAGAGCATTAAGTAAGTCTGAGTATTATATGTTGAACCATCAAGCAGTGCATATGGCCTTGTTCCCCAGAATTCCATCATCAATTGAATATGGTGTATAGATAAGGTGATAATATAATTTATCATCCAAAGTAGGATACTATTGAGATTGAAAGCGGACACTGTTAATCATGCTGCAACAGTGGATATAAAGCAATACTTATAGACCAGTTCTCAATCACTCCAGGAAGCCACAAAGTTGCTTCGAAACTATACCCTGAAATTACAGGGTCAGTTGGGTGTTCCTGCTTTCTTATGCACCCCCACCCCAGCTTCACCATGAATACCTCTGAAAGAAGGCCCCCAGGAGAACTGTGCAAAGTCCAGACCAAAGGGGCACAGCCCCATTGCATGCTCAGCAGCAGCCTAGAGATTTTCAGACTGCCAGCTCGTGGAAGGAAGCTTGACTATTGTCAAGTAGGTTTTATTCACAAGATTTCAGAATTAAAGTTTTAAAAACATATAGGAAAGAAATTAAGGCCTTAAACATTTAGCATATTAACCTTTCCCACTAGAAACTTTCCTCCACCACTTCTCATGGATGATATGACCTAGTTATGTGTTCCTGGGTGGTGGCCAGGCAGACTGGGTGTGGTCTATTTTTAAACCTTTCAGTTTAAGTGTGTTTGGTGAATTGGCCCCTATGGTGGCTAATGCAGGGACGGAGTACCTACAGGAAGCCCTCCCACAGGTATAAAGCCTTCTCCAGCAATGACAGTGGCATGAAGTAAATCTAAATCTTTCAGTGGTATGAAGTAAATCTAAATCTTTCAGGAAATACAAAATCTTTTCACTATTGATTTGATTTTTTTATAGAATCAACTGTTTGGCTGAATCTGCATAATGGAGATTAATGGAGCTTTATTTACTGCTCTTTGTGCCTAAGTTACTTTCTACAGCAGGGCCCTCAGGGAGCCCTAGTAATCCTTCAGTTTACTGAGAAATGGGTCACTTTGCATTATGATATTTAATGGTCAGTGACTGCAAGTCCGGCTGAGAATTTGGGATCTCATTGTCCTTCTCAGCCCTCTTTGATTTCCTCGAGCCCTTCAAAAAAATGGCTTGATACCCCTCAAGAAAATAATGACACTTAATGTTTGTATTCAGCCAAATACTGAAAAAAACACTTTGAGGAGTTTCTCTATTACTTTTCAAACTGCATTAAAGCTTTCACTTTTGTTTTACAAGCCAGGAAATGTGAAGAATTCACCTGGAAATAAGTAGAAAACTCCATGTTCTGCCCATTTTAATCAGGTAAAGAACAAGAAATTTCTGGTTATTTTTGGCATTGTTCAGGCCAGCTGAAATGATTTCTTTTTAATTAATTTAATATATTATAGCAATTTTCACCTTATGTGGAAAACATAGGGCTTATTTTTTCCATCTTTAATTTCTGAGCTTAGGTGCCATGACTTAACTTCATTTGTTCCTGAGGAGCACCTGGGTTTTTTTTTTTTGTTTGTTTGTTTGTTTGTTTGTTTGTTTGTTTTAGGACAATCTAGAACCACAGAGTTGGGATTTATCTATGAATCTATTGCCTGCCTGCCTTTCTTTCTTTCTTTCTTTTTTTTGGCTTGGGATTGAACCTAGGGATGCTTTACCACTGAGGTAGATTCCCAATCCTTTTTTTAGTTTTTATTTTGAGACAGAGTCTGGCTAAGTTGCTGAGATAGCCTTGAACTTGCAATCCTCCTGCTCTAGCCTCTTAAGTCACTGAGATTGTAGGCATGTGCCACAGTGCCCAACTACAAATCCATTTCAAACAGTCAAAAAATGCCCATATTTTTTTTAGTTTATTTTTTCAAACAGCCCTTTCTTATAATAAGCATACTTGGATTCACCTAATACTAATTCAGTAAACATTTATTAAGTACATTACTATTGTAGGGAAGCTCAAGATTATGTAGCAATATTAAGTGACATAGGAAGTTCTTTATTCTTTCTTTATTATTAGGCATAATCATTTTCTTTGAAGATTAAATAATCTGAGGCTAGATAAACTTAAGGTTTATCAGATGAAGGCAGAAAATAAGTGTGATTTTTTATCTTAAGTCCCTATTTTCATTTTTTAATCAATATTTACTTATCAAACACCTGCTAAGTACAAAAACACTATTTATATTATTACTTTGTGTATATATTAAAAAATTTTACAATAGCTCTTATGATATCCTGATAGTTTGATTATATTGAATTTGTAAACAACCTAGAAAATAGTTTAATTATGGTATATTCATAAAGAGGAATATTATTCTGTTTCAAAAATATATGTGTTTGCATGGGAGTATATGTACAATTATTATTCAGTGGAGAAAAGAAAATGGTAATATGTTACATTGTTAGACCATGATACATAAAAAATTTAAGTGTGCATCTTTCAGGTAGTAGGATTATTTTTATATTCTTTACAGCTTTTCTGTATTTTTAATATTTTCTGCAATGAATATGAATTTCCTTTTATAATGAGAAATTTTTTTTGTGTGTGTGTGTGTCTATGTGTGCATGCACATGCGCACACATGTGTGGTTCTGGGGTTTGATCCCCAGGCCTCTACCACTGAGCTATATCTCCAGCCCATATAATCAGAAAATTTCTTAAACTTTTGTATTATATTTATTGAAAATTATGGTTACTATTTAAAATTCATGAGAATGATGAATTTTAGGTTTTTTTTCTTCAAGCTATTTCCATATTTGTAGAGAGCCAGAAAGTCATATAAACTTAAAATTTGAGGGAGTACTGACCCAACCTAAGCCTCAAGCAGAATTCCTTATAACCCTGTGTGTTCTCCCTTTTACACCTCTACTGATAGGAAACACCAGACAGCACAGCTGTCTTTGGACAGTTCTAATGTTTAGGAAGCTATTTCTTTTACTAAGTGAAGTCTCCTCTGACTCCTATGCAATGGTACTAATCCTGCTTTGGGTCATAGAAAACAAATCCAGTTCCTCTTTCAATTTATATATAGCAGGAAATTAAAGCATGTATCTTTCAGGTAGTGGGATGAATTTTAAGTTTTTTGTAACTTTCTGTATTTTTAAAATTTTCTGCAAATAGTATGCGTTTTCTTTTATAATCTAATCAGGTTTTTTTCCTTTGGGATCAAACCCACAGTTTACACTTGCTAGGCAAATGCTGTACCACTGAGCTGCATCCCCAGTCCCACATAAATATTTTCAAAGCTTTTCTTATCTTTATTCCTTTCCAAGAGGTAATTTTGGTTCATAATTTTAGTATCATTTTGTACTTTTTAGTTTATATATAATATATGTGTATGTGTGTACGTACGCATGTTTATATAAATACATATATATGCATACATGCATGCTTTTGTTTTTTTTGACAAAATGAGATCATAATCATAATTGTATTATGACAAGTAAAGAAATTAACAGTAATTCCTGAGTACCATCTAATACCTAATCAGTGTACAAATTTCCATGATTGTCTCATTAATAAATTTTTGTTTTGGTAGTGGGAATTTTGAATCTAGGGGTACTCTACCACTGAGCTACATGCCCAGCCCTTTTTTATATTTTATTTTGTGACATGGTCTTGCTGAGTTGCTGAGGCTAGCCTCAAACTTGCTGTCTTCCTTCTTTAGCTTCCCAGATCACTGGGATTACAGGCATATGCCACTGCACCTGACTCATTAATAACATTTTTGTAGTTTGTTTGAACCAGGATTCAAAAAAGGTCTGCCCCTTGTGCTTGACTTAAGTCTCTTTTTTAGTTGGTACTGATATTACCCATTAACTTTCTTTTTAAATTCTTTTTAGATATACATGACAGTAGGGTGCATTTTGACATATTCTACATACATGGAGTATAACTTTTAAATTGTGATGGTTCTCTCTGCCTCATTAATCCTTTACCATTTTTTTCATTGAAAACCTGGTTTATTTGTCCTTTAGAATTTACCATGTTCTGGCTGTGATTGAATACATCCATTTACTGTCACTCCATTGTTTCTTGGCTCTTTTCTTTTCTTTATTGTTTAGTTATCAATGGACCTTTATTTTATTTATTTATATGCGGTGCTGAGAATCGAACCCAGTGCCTCACACATGTTAGGCACAACTCTACCACTGAGCCCCAGCCCCAGCCCCTTGGTTCTTTTCTTCTATTTCCCATAAATAGATAATTAGATCCAAAGACTTAACCATATTAGGTTCCATTTTTTGGTAAGAATACTTCATAGATGGTAGTATGTTTAGCTATGTTGAATGAATGAATGACCCTACTTTTTTTTACTTAATATATTATGTACATAGTTTATTGTCATAGTTATAGATCCATCTCATTCCTTCTTTTTTTTCTTTTTTGTTTTTATTTTTCTCTTTGGTAATGGGGTTTGAATGCATACCACTGAGCCCACTTTTTAAAAAATTTAATATCCTCCCTCCCTTTTTTTTTTTTAAATTTTGAGACAGGGTCTCTCTAAGTTGCCGAGGCTGGCTTTGAACTTGCAATCCTCCTGCCTCAGCCTCCTGAATGGCTGGGATTACAGGTGTATGGCACTGTACCTGGCCTCATTCCCTTTTTATTTATTTAATGATTTCCTAGTCTGGATTACTATTGTGGTCTGCTTAATCCTTGTTAATATAGGTTGTTTCCAGTTTTTAGAGTTTAACAATGTAGTAAATGTATCAAATTCTTAGAGAAGCCAAAAACAGATTAATAAATTGACATAGAAAAGATGTTAGTGGTCTATATGTTTAACTTACAATTTTGGGGGTTTGTATTAAATGATCAAGTGAATATTCACTGGCCTCTAAAATATTGGTTTTGAGGATGTAGTGCAGTGGTAGAGTGCTTGCCTAGCATGTGTATGGTTCAATTCCCAGAATTTCAAAAACAATAAAATATTTATAAATCTCCAGTTACTTCTTTGTATTCATTACATACAAGGAAAAAAAACAATCTGGAGAAGACTCAGTTTGGCTTTGACATGTCTTTGAAATCACATGTTTCATTCTGAAAGACAATGATGAGGTGATATGAGGAGAGGTATATATCTAACTGAGGATAATATTCTCTCCTCCAGCAGATACATGGAAATGTAGTTGTTTGATCTTTAGAGGGAGAGAGAGGTATGGTGTGTGCTGTGCCATTTAGGCCTCTACTTCATATTCATCCATTTGTCTGTTTAATTATGCATAGAGACACAGCCAGTTGAGAATCTGAGTGTTCATTTGTGAAATGAGAATAATTACGGTTTTCTCTGGCTCGTGATCCTTAAGGTCATGTAATAATAACATAATATTTTATGTGGTTTCATAATTTCAAAATATTAAATTTTAGAGTCATTTTTTTCTGGCACAGTTTGCTTATGTTTTTCTTTTTTTTTCTTTTAGTTGTAGGTAAACAGTGGAAACTCCAGACAGTAAATCAGTATTTCTACAGAAAAATGGCAGAGAAGTCAGTATTGAATATAGTAAACTGGCCTTCTTCTTCAGGAAAATCTATAGTAGGCCTTTTCATTATCTTGGGTAATGCCATACTACAAGTGGACTAAGCTGAAATCCTTTTACCTGGAGATAATGTACAAGCCTTAGAACTCTTATTCTCATGTCACTATTTATGTACATAATTAAAATCCAAATTAAAAAAAAGGTGTCCTGCTTTCTTTACCGATATCATTGATAGTTTAAGCATATCTTGTATTCACATATATGCATAGTTAGTGTGCGTGGTGCATGTTTCTGTGTGTATGCATGTTGTTTGCTAAAGACAACATTAACTCTTCTTTGGACAGTAGCAGATAGCAGTCTGCAGAGTTTGATTCCCCAAACCCAAAGGAGGGCCGAGGAGAGGGACTCTAGGTAAGAGACAGTGCTTTAAAAATCAACACAAGGAAATGCTGGGGAGTGATATTGGCCAAATTATATTGTTATATTGTATGGATGTATGAATATGTAACAACAGATCCCATCAATATATGCAACTACAAAACACCAATAAAAAATGTGGAAGAAGAAAAAACCAACACAAGGAACAATAAGTAACACAGTATGCCTGTACTAATTAGAAGACATAACAGAAGAAAACTGTAATAGTAACCCTTGTTGTGACTGTCATCTCCCAGTTTATACAGATCTTCCAGATCTTGAATGGAAGTGAAATTCATAATGAAGTAGTATATGTGCTCTGCCAGTGGATGAATGGGGATGTGGCTATGTGTATCAGCTCTTTGTATAGCTTGTGTCCTCCCACTTTGTGGCCCTTGAATGCACCACAGATGGATTTCTCTATTCCTAGAGCAAGGATCAGCAGGAGTCTCTTTTTTTGAGTTGTCAACTAGCCAGGAAGGATGGCAAGGGCAATATGAGAGAATTTAAAATTTCCAAATTTTAGACTGTTTTGGAAACTGTAAGCCTTTGATGCTTGTCTTCAGTATAATTCCTAATTGTTGATCTTCCAGAATCGATAATGGTTGGGAAGATAGCCATGCACAAATAGAAATGCATGTATTAGTATTAAATACTTTTAATAGAACCAAAATGGCAGGAACACAGCTGGTATTGTTACTGAATTCAATGAGCTAAAGCAAAGTTGTACATGGGATAATCCTAGTCACCCAGAAATCTTACTTTTTTGTGTTACTGGACAAATCATACAAATATATTAAAGCTGTGCCTAAATTATAAATATGCTTTCTCCATTTGTCTTAGGGTTCTGTCACTCTGCAAAGTGGAAATTCCATGAGTTTCTTCATTGAGGTTGCTTGATCTATAGAATATTAAGAAGAAATGGCCTATACCTCAGCATGCTCTGGAAATGATTAATCAATAGGTATTTGAGTGCCTCCTTAATATACAATATTACTTCTCATTGCTAATCCTTCAGTCACTATTGAAATGTTTTTTTGAAACCTCTTAACTCCTCCATTTGGTGGTGGGGTTAGGTATCACCAAGCTCTACTATTGTTTGATCTGTGTTTAGTACAGCAGAGGAATTATCTACCAACACAGATAGCTTAGTTACCCTTTGAACTATTTTTGATTTATGGATGGTGGCCCAAAGATCTTTTCCTGGTTGTTTGTATTCAAGTGCAGCTTTCTTTTTATATTTAATACTTTCCATGCCTCCTATGTATATTAAACTATAGGGAATATAAAATATGCATATTTGGGGTTGGGAATGGTGGTGCACGCCTGTAATCCTAGTGGCTTGGGAGGCTAAGGCAGAAGGATTGTGAGTTCAAAGCCAGCCTCAACAACTTAGCAAGGCCCTAAGCAATTTAATGAGACCCTGTCTCTAAATAAAATATACAAAAAGGGCTGGGGATATGGTTCAATGGTTAAGTACCCCTGGGTTCAATCCCCAGTACCAAAACAAAAAACAAATGCATATTTGGAGGCTAAGGATGTAGCTCCGTGGGGGAGCATAGACAGCATGCACAAGGCCCTGAGTTCAATGGCCTGAGTAGTGGCCCATATAATGCACCAAAAAAATAAGTACTTAAGTCCCTAAAGTGTTTCTCCAATTCTTTATACTTTCAAAGTGCCATTTTCTCTCTCTCCTCTCTTGCCTTATTCCTGAATTCGGTACATTTGTACTTTATTTGTTTGGGGTGCTAGGGAATGGGCCAAGGTGTGCTTTACACTGGGCTACATCTCCAGCCCTTTTAATTTTTTATTTTTAATTTTTTTTTAATTTTTGGTGCCAGGGATTGAACCCAGGGGCACAACAACTGAGCCACATCCCCAGCCCTTTTTTAAATTTTTATTTAGAGACAGGGCCTCACTAAGTTGCCTAGGCCAGCTTTGAAGTTGCAATCCTTCTGCTTCAGCTTTCTGAGCTACTGGGATTACAGGAATGTGCCACCATGCCCATCCCTTTTTATTTTTTATTTTTAGCCAGGATATCACTGTATTCCTGAGGCTGGCCTCCTGAGTTGCTGGGACTACATGCATGGGTTATCATGCCCAGTTTTATTCTTTTTTTAAGCATTTTTTAAATTTTGGACACAATAACCTTTATATTATTTTTATATGATGCTGAGGATCGAACCCAGTGACTCCCACATGATAGGCAAGCACTCTACCACTGAGCTACAGTCCCAGCCGCCAGCTTTATTCTTGTTATTCTTTTTCTGTCCCAAGATACTTCTATCTACTGTTATACTTCTTATTCCATCTTTTATGGTCATATCTCCTTATAATAAAAACCATGACTCTCCATCTACTTTATCTGCAACATAATCAACATAGTTCTGTAGTTCTATTTGAAGAACTTCAGGGACTCTGGAGGGAATGTTATCTACCTTACAAATTGACTTAAACTCCTCTGAAGAGATAAATGTGGTTTGGTTTGTTCTGTGATGACAGATTCCCAAGAAAGAGTGCTTTGTAAAAAATCAAGATTGGTTCAGGGGCGGCGGTGCATGCCTACAATCCCAGAGGCTTGGGAGGCCGAGTCAGGAGGATTGCAAGTTCAAAGCCAGCTTTAGCAATTTAGCAAGGCCCTAAGCAACTTGGTGAGATCATGTTTCAAAATAAAAGATAAAAATGGCTGGGAATGTAGCTCAGTGGTTAAGCGCCCCTGGGATCGATACCTGATACCAAACAAACAAACAACATCAAGATTTTCCTCTGCTTCAACCAGAGGAAAGAAAGGATTAGGAATACTAAAGAATGCCTTCACCAATCTTACCACCTTTATCACACCTTGAGACAAAAGCTAAGCAGTAGTACATAGCAGAACCCAGAGCCAGTTGAGCTGACTGACAGTACCACCCAGAGTTTAGGGTAGAGGTGTCTAGGCCTGTGGGTCAGCAGCTTTTGTTCCAAGTGCAATGCTGGTACCCAGCCCAGTAGTGGCCCACATAATGCAGAGCACCTAACCCTAATGAATAAATCAATTATGTAAATACCCCAAAGAAAATCCAAAGCATAGGTGAAATGTGTGTTTTGCATATACAGGTGTTAAAAATAGGACTTACTAGAGGTCAAACAGGAAGTCAATGAATGTTAAAATTAGGCCATGTAGTGAGTATTACTGATTTTTATGAGTGTGAAACTATAATTTAGAATCCTTGACTTCTGAGAAAATAGATGGGACTTTTGTTGTCATTGTCATGTTTAATGAATGCACCTTGCACTTATCGTTTGAGAAAAGCTAAATATTTAGAGAACACTTTTCTTTGTGGCCAGCAGTATTCATTCCTATTGTATAAACTGACTAATAAACCATGAGTATGAAAGTTATCAATTTTTAGTTCACCAAGTCTAATGCAAAAACAATTTTGAGGGGATCAGCATTATATTTGTGGAACTAAATTCTCTTTCAAGCTTAATTTTCATTAAAGGCAAATATTTGAAATAATGATTTTGTTCACCGTGGGTTGAAAGAAACTTGGTTAAGGTATTGGTTTTCACTCTGTAAACCTCCTGTCTAATATCCTTCTATTCATGTTTCAGATCAGTAATTAGCCAGCACACAGGAGTAAAGGTACAATCAGGTCAAACTCCAGATGTGACTGAAGTTCAGTCTTATTTATGTTTATGAAATTATGGCCAAGGAAATTTCTGGATGAAAGAAAAGTTTGTTTTTATAAGCAAGCATTTCACTTCACATTTTGTTCCTTTGACATACTGAATAAATCACCTATGTCTCATATTTAGGGGCTTTTATTTTCTTAATCAAGTGTAGTGCTTTGCTGCTGAACTCTGAAAGACAAAAGAATAGCCAAGGGAGTGACTCTTCTCCCTGGCTACCTCAAACTGAAATAACCTTAATCAAAGTCCTTATAGGACTGGTGGAGTAGCTCAGTGGTAGAGTGCTTGCCTAGCAAATATGAGGCTCTTGATTCCATCCCCAGAATCTTAAGAAAGAAGGAAAAAGGAAAAAAAAAAACAACCTTGTAAATCTCCCCCTCCAATGCTGCCCTATTGATGGCATTGTAGAAGACAGAAGAAAAGGTAAAAGGCAAAGATAGAAAAAAAGCTAGGTGCAGTGATGCTCACCTATAATCCCAGGGACTCAGCAGGCTGAGGCAGGAGGAATGCAAATTCAAGGCCAGCCTCAGAAACTTATCGAGGCTCTAAGCAATTTGGGGAGATCTTGACTCAAAATTAAAAAATAAAAATAAAAAAAAATTTAAAAGCTGGATGTGTGGCACACATCTATAATCCCAGTGGCTCAGGAGGCTGAGGCAGGAGGATGACAAGTTCAAAACCAGCCTCAGCAATTTAGTGAAGCCTTAAGCAACTTTGAAGATCCTGTCTCAAAATATTAAAAAACGGGCTGGGGATGTTGCTCATTGGTTAAATGCCCCTTGGTCCAATCCCCAGTACCAATAAATAAATAAACAAACAAATAAATAAGCAAGCAATAAATAAGCAAGCTATGGATGTAAATAAATGAATAAATAAATAGGCTGTGGGTGTAGCTCAGTGGTATGCCATCCTTGGATTCAATCCCCAACACCAAATGAATGAATGAGTGAATGATGGAGAAAAATATGGAATTGAAAAACTGCTTCCCACACTCAGAAATAGTCATAGTGAATCCTTCAAATGCTTAGATGATATAATACTGAGATTTTACTAGGAGTGACCCCAAATTTGTGTATCATCAGGAGAATGATCTTAAATGTTTTGTTCACTAC